GGAGCCTCCCCGCTTTGCAGCTGCTGCTACTTATTTTGAATAAGAAGAGCAGAAATGTCAGTCCTCCGTGCTATCTGTGAGGTGTTTGGGACCACGGCATGCTCCCTTGTTTAGGGTGATGCTCATCATCCAGAGATGGGGCAGTAGTTGGGGAAGGCGGAGGGAACCTTCTGGTCGGCTCCCTGTCCTGGTGCCCCAGCAATTCCCTCGGAGGGGCCACAGTGAAGCTTTGGCACCCTACAAAGTCTCACAGGTTTTCTAGCTTCTGCACTGTTTTCTAGCTGGGCCCCCTTTTTACTTTATTCTATGATTAAAGAAGACGTCTTGTTGTATAAAATGCCTCTTCCTCAGATTCGGTCCAGGGACAGTTAAGTTTACAATTGCACTGACAGTACAGAAGGGCCTGAAAAATAAAGCCTGAATTTAAAAGGGAAAAAAAACCCAAACCCACAAGAGGCAGCCTATATAAAATATTTGTTGTGGTCCTCTCCTCATCTTTTAAAAGATCCTTGGAAAAGATTCCTGTGCTGTGAAGATGTTTTATGAGACCAGGCACCTTCCCACGCCTCTCTGATACCTGAACCAAAACATTCAAACTAGGAGACTGTCATAGCAGATGACAAGAAGAAGGAGGCATACGTTTACAGTTCATAAACCTGATCTCTTCTTTTCTGCCAGACAATTTCCCAGATATTGGAAAGAGAGGGAGGGTGTGTGTGTGTAAAGTATTTCCACAGCTGAGCTCTTCTTAGAGAAAAACTATTTATTAATAAGCATTTTTCACCTAAGGTTTGTAGTGGCCGATTCAAGAAGTTCCTTGAGCCTCTTTTTGTTTCAGACTATTCTCATTCCCAAAAGTAGCAAAGCTTGGTTTTAGGATTATTAAGCTTTCCTTTCTTTAAAATCCTCTCTGGGCTTATTTGATTGAGAGATGAGATCTTTTCTGTTAGCATCTGTCAGAGTTGGTAAAGAGCACCAGTGTTGGATAGATACCGTAAAGGCTGTAAACTTTCAGTCAGGATGTCTATCTTGTATATGTCAGGCAGCGCTTAAGTTTGTGTTTACGGCTTTTTGGTATTCTGAAAAAGAAGTTATTTCAGATAATTGCAGCTGGACAGAAGGTATTTAGTGAGCCTCATGAGGCTACAGCAGCTTGGGGTTTGGCTAAACCTGGTGCAAGTCTCTTCGCTGTATTGAAAACATAGCTTCTTGTAGAGTTGCTTCTCCCTGTAAGTTAAGTCACATTATTCCAGCCTGTTGGCTCTTCTTGAGCCAGACTCTAGCTAGACTTCACCTTAAGGGGAAACGATCACTTTGCAAAACCTCAATCTTGTTGGTCATACCTGGGCTGGGCTTGATAGCGGCTAGAGAAGCCTCCCCTTGATTCAAGCCAAAGCACTTCATCAATGGACTGGGGCTCAACTGGAAGTGGCACTCGTCTGGTATTTTGAATAATATAGTCTAGACTTTCAGCGCTTGGTGTTTTTTACAAAGCTGCTTTTCCTGTCAAGTGGCTGCCTCGGAATCTGAGCTTTCCTTTAAAAATAGTTTTTTAGCTCTCTTGACTGGGAAGAAAACTGTGAAACCATGAGATTTAACTCTTCCTTCCTCAGCTGCAGCTGAGGGCTGCGTAGGACTGCCTGGGCAGGCAAGGGATGGCCAGAGTGCCCATGTATCTGAAACATCTCCTGTACAGGTGCAGGGGGACAAGAGATGGCAACGCATCCTTTACGTCACCTTTTAGAGTCACCAGCTGCTGCTAAGGACAACCTGACAAAGTTTTTTGCACCAGAAAAATATTCTGGGTGCTTAATATGTGCAGATGCTTAAAGACAGGCAAAGAAGATTCTTTCTGGAAGGGGAACATTCCCCAGTAAAAAGAAAATACAGAAATATGAAAATGTTCATGTCACCTGTCATAGTGGAGATTGCAGGAATATGGTGATCTCTGAATCTCACCGATCACAGCGGGCTGCTCTTGCAGGCAACCACCCCTTCAGGCTCCCTGTTGGCAGGTGGTAAAGTGCATCTTCCTGGTTTTCTTTTAATTTTTATGCACCTCTTTAATGTCTGGTAGCCTAGTGGGGCACCACAGAGGCATAAAAAGTACCAAGCAAGAAGGTTTTGGAAAACACATCCGAAGCACATTTAGTTGCTGTGGTCTCAGGCTCTCAACCTCTCTGTCAGTTCTTTTTCCCAAACTGTAAGATGTTTATCTGCTGTAGGACTTTTCCATCTAATAAGAATGAAGAGCAGAGCAGCTCCTTTTCTGTCCATGCCCAACACCTGCAAGTTCTGTCACTGTGAGGTCGCCACCACTATGAAAACTAATTCTCTGTTTGAAGTTAACTGTTTGGATTATGAGAAAGAACATGTGAATAAAGAGATTCAGAGGTTGAGCATTCCCTAGTTTCAGTCCATGAACACAAAGACGTTTGCTCACGGCAAATGACAAGTACCTTGTGGGCACGGCAGGCTGCAGGACTTCCGTCCAGCTGAAAGACAAGATCTTTGCATGAAATTAGATGACTAGCTGCTCCTCTGGTTACATATGGAAGTCTCTCATTTGTGTGCAGAAATGTTACTTATTTGTGTAAGTCTTTGCTCACGCAAAATTTACCTCTCAAGGTTTGTCCTGCAGAGACCTGCTGAAGAATTACTAATCTCCTGTGGCCATTATCGTGGCACATCACAGGAAACCTGGCAAGCAGTCCAGACTGAGAAAACACGTGACTTGGAGAAAACACAGCTCTACATGGAATCACATTGATCTTTCTAATACCCATTTAGCACACAAACCACAGAAGAGGCATGAACCATGAGACATTTGATACCAAGAGTGTAAAATAAGGCTCAGAGGTGAAGACAGAAGAAAAACAGAAAATGAAGGTCCAGTTTGACTAATTGTGTTCAACCTTCCAGTCAAGAAAATGCTCTTCAGATATAGGCAGGATACTTCAAAACTTCCCTGTCTTTCCCCCACAACATCCAACTGAAAGAGTTTGAGTCCCAGGCTGACACCATAACTTTCTGCACTCCCCAGCTTTGTACTCGTCCACTGTGAAATAACTTGGTGGGTGATAAGTTATTTTCTTAGCCTCCCTGTTTTCAGCTTGCTGCAAAATCATTTTTCTACATACAGGCTGCTTATCCTCTGTGCTGAACGCAAATGTATCCGTAACTTAGGACTTGTTGAACAAGTATATTTAAGTTACTACAACTCGTGGAGGAGTAACATAATATGCAGCGAAAATAAACAGGGCACCGTGTAAATCTCTGTTATCTTCTGTGTCAGCAATATTTAGGAAGGAAATTGTTTGGAAAGTAAATGTTAGTTTGTATTAGGTAGCATTATGTGTGACTGAAGAAGAGTCAAATGGAAACTTGGAAATACTATACATTTCCAAGAGAAATAGATCTCTGAATAGCAAACCACCACGCTGATCGGCCCCACTGCAGCAGGAACTTTAGGCACTGCATGACCCTTCTTGAGTGTGCTTAAGGGTGTTTTTTTTTGGGACAGGGAATTCCATCAGCAGAGGAGGGAGAGTGCTTCCTGGCAGGAAGGATAGATTTTGCTGTCCTTCTTGTAGAATTAAAATTTGGAGAAAAGCTGATGCGAAACAGTAACATCTGGGTGATCAGCACATGGCTCCTGTGGCAGGCGACCTTCTCGGGAGCAGCTGCTCCTCCCAGCAGGGCTCCAGGGGGGCAAACACCACTCAGCACAGTCGGATGCAAACCCAGAGCAGCCTGAACATCACGTCAGCCCCCAGCACGGGGGGCTCTCCAGCGAGAGATGACCCTGGCCCCCAGTGCTGGCCAAGGAAGTGCCTCTACCTGCAAAGAGCTGTGGGACATCAGTGAGAAAACACTGAACCTGTATCCCTCTGCATAGCTTATGTGGCACATACAGTGTCCGCTAAGGAGAGGGAAAAGAAATACCAATGAACAACGAGAAATACTGATAAATAGTTTGCAAAGAAAAGCAGAGTGGGTGTAAAAGTACATAAGCCTCCTATGTGTGGGACTCACCTGTTTAAATGTCGTCTTTTATGGTGTTTATGGGTGTGATGCTGTTCGTCCCTTATCATGAATTTTTCTTTGTTTCAGGTAGGAATGAATTGATAGCCAGATACATCAAACTTCGAACAGGGAAGACACGGACCAGGAAGCAGGTAAAATAACCCAGTGGGAAAGTATGCATGTTAGTGAATGACAAAAAATGGCATTTGTGGCTGCAGTGGCTGTCTGTGCTTCAGCTCTGATGAGATGATGTATTGACTTCATGGTTCAGATTAAATACATGCTGTTTGAAAATATTAAAAACACCACTTTTTACGTTATGCATCATTTTCAGTGGCAGTTGGAGAATGCATTTTTTTTATTAACCTATATGTACCTGAAGCTATTATTCCCTGTGTTTGGGAATTTTTTTTTCACAAGTTGAAGCAGAGGCATAAGTATTGTGCCTTATTTCTCTATAAGGATAATTACAGAATTAAGAAGATGAATAATATTAAGAAGATGAATAATTGAATTTCTAAAATTCCAACCAATTTGCCTATATAATAGATATTACAGTCCTTGGATATGAGAGGCAAATAAATAAAAACTCTCTAGCAGGACTGATCATAATCTCACGGGCAGTACTTGCTACAGGATGAAAACATAATAAAAAAATTCCCGTAAGAGCCTTCAGGCTCCTTTTCTATGACCACGGTAAGATCTCATTCATCAAAGAGTCAGAATAAACCTCTAACCAGTCTTAAGTCTTTTTCAGATGATTATCACATAACTATTAACGTATCTCATATGACTAAATCCTTTAGTTTATAATACCCACGGTGATCAGCAGCCTCACAGAAGGCACACGCTCTGTGTAGTTCCTGCGGTGGTTACTAAACCCTTGCGCTGCTTCGAAATGCTTTGCAAATCGCCGAGTCCCCTCGCTTTCTCTAACGTCAAGTGTGAGATTCCTCTTCTCCCCATCCACGTGTGTGACCAAGGGGAAGGCAGAGGCTTGTACCCTCGCATGCTACGTGGGTTCTGTAGCACAGGGCAAGGTGACGCTGTGTTGGCACACACAAAGATGGCCGGCTGCCAGTGCTCGGGTTTACAGCACTCTGAACTGGGTGGTATTTTGCCCTGGGTGGTGTCCTTTGTCAGTTATGAAGAAAACATATGTATGAGGGATGAAAAAAGACATGAGAAAGGAGAGAAACTGCAGCACGTGGAGATGGAGCAAACAAAAGATTGGCAAAGCAATCTGAAACGAAAGACAAAGTCCCAGGTTCTGCCCTGCTCTGCCCATGCGGGCGCCAAGAGTCAGGGGTTATACTGGGATCTTTAAATTGCATCAGGAGTAAAAATGCAGACCTTGGGGCTAGATCCTTGGCCAGCATTGTGCTGGTAGAGCTGCAGTGAAAGCAAGAGGGCTGTGATGGCTTACATATGGCGACGTTCTGCCTCCTTACTCGTACACTTCTCTGCAACGATTCATAACTCACTTTAAAACGTGTGTTTCAAAAAGTTTGACTGTCGTTACTTTTGAGTTTCAACTGAGCAATTAAACCTTATGATTGTACTTCTTGTATAACCTTTAACACCACTAATATCCCACTGAAAACCAAACAAATGAACACATGTGAAAACTTGGTCTACATGTTTGATGACAAAATTGCTTAGTAAGCAGTTGTATAACTCTGAATTACTGCAAACTGATTCCTGAGCTGCTTCCTGAAGTAGTCTCTGAAGGTGGCTTTTGGGGGCTGTGCTGATTTATGCATTACTCTTTGCTTCCCTAATAAAGATACAGGCTTTTTGGTACTACTGTCATGGAATAGTCTTAGAGAGGGAGGGAATCAAGTTTTGTTTCTCCTTTTCTTTTGCTTTGTTCTTTCCCAGACAGGAAATGTAACATGCAACACCTGACACGGTGTACCCTGGATCAAACAAAAATAAGCGATTTCTCTTCAACAGCTTTTACCATCACTGCAGGTCTTGAACCTTCAGGATGGATGCTGAGCACTACTGAGCAGTGCTGGGCAGCATCATTAAACCCTCATCATCGATAACATGGATTTAATTACGTGCCTGAGTAAACAGGAATGTGAGTCTGGGCCCAGACCCTTCCCTGCACAGGCAGCAACTTCTGACCAATAACTGTGTGTACACAAATTTCTTACCAAAATATAATGGTGATGCACCAAACCTGGACACCGCTCACACTGATGTCAGGTTACTGGTCCCCACTTATCTGAGTGTTTTGTGGGCAGGCTTGATGCTGAGATTCCCAAGGAAGCCAGCACAGGTTCAGGGGCCTGTGTTGTGCCAGTATTTTATCATTTGTGCCAGTATTTAAAACATTTCAGTGGGGTCAAAATGCAGCCCGAGGCTCCTCAGTGGAGCTGCAGAACACAATAAATAATGGATAAAACTCCTCGGTGCCAAGTTATGTCGCAAGCCTAGTGGCAAGTGGTCAGAGTGGGCATCTGCATCCCTGGCAGATGGGGCAGAAATCCTGTTGGCTCCCCACGTGAGAGCGCAGGGTCTGGCTACGGACGGGGTCGGTACCAAACCACGTGGGCTGTGACCAGCTGCGAACTGTGTCTCCTATCTTGTAACTGAATGCACAACCTGGTGGGGTATTTTTTTTTTAGTCTTTTTTTTTTCCTTTACCTTAAACAATGACCTGTATTGTTAAGCCTCGGTGCTAAGAGCTTGGTATCTGGCTGGGAATGTGGTATCTTTAACAGCAGAGCTTACTGAAGGTGCAAATAACTTCCTCCCCTCAGAAATTTATTTTTTTTTTAAACAGAAAAATAGACATTTAAAATTTGATTTGCTTTTTGTTTTTCTTTTGTTTGTTGTTTTTTTTCCCCTATAAACCTGAACAATGTAGGTGTCTAGTCACATACAGGTCTTAGCAAGAAAGAAAGTTCGAGAAATTCAAGCCGCCATTAAGGTACGTTTGGCTTGCCCAGTTGTAGGGGGCTTTTCATCTCCATGGTTACAGGCTTTTCCTTTGTTTCCTCCCTTCCCCTACCCTGCAGGTGTCTAGTCACATTCAGGTTCTTGCCAGAAGGAAATCTCGTGATTTTCATTCCAAGCTGAAGGTATGCGCTTTTCTGCTTTTGGGCTTGTGGTTGCTATGCCTGTCCCTTCCTCCTCCCCGCGGTGATGGGCGAGCGCCTGGTGCTGCCGTGCCTGTAACCTCGTTTTCCTGCATGTGGTAGCTGTCTGCGTCTCTTTGTGTTTAATCTCCGGTTTCTGCACTAGCATCTACATTAAAAACGTTGTTTTAACACTGTCCAAATGCAAAGTGAACTACTCTTTGTAACAGCTCAGCACCTAAACTTGTTTTTTAACCCGTTAGTCTATTTTATTTTCTTTTTTTAACAGTAGGAGTGTATTTAAATACACAGGGGTTTTATGCAGTTGTGTAGGTTCTTTTTTTTTTTGCTTTTTTTCAGAGGGGTAATGGGGATAATTGTTTTCCATTCCCAAATGTTTTTTGTCTGTGATTTTGAAATTCTATCAAGAATACTCAAAGTAGATCATTTATTCCAACTGCCAGAGAGCACAGCTTATCAAGATTGCTCTAACTATAAGGTGTTTCTAGAGTACAATCTAGTATCACCTCATGATACGTCCTGTTTACAAGATTCCCTGAAATTTTATTTTTTAAAGTAAAATATTGATAATTAATTTTTGGAGAGCCCCAGGCAGGGTCCTGTTCAGGGAATATTAAGTATGATCACTTAATCTCACGTGATGAATTGTACATGTCCCTATTTTCCTTGCTTTCCATAAGATATATTCTAAGTCTAAAAAGAAAGTCTTGGAAATGCTTAATAGGGGTTTCCTGGATAGCTTGTTTTTTCAAGTTTTCCAGCAGAGATCTTGGGATCCTTTTTGGTTTATTTTCACGTCACTTAAAAGCGGAAAAAGGGGTTTTGCAATTTTTGCCGTTGATTTTTTTCTTTTTAATAAAAAGCAAAGGAACTTATAAATCCTTTACTTCCCTCTCTTTTTCTTTTTGTCAATTTTTTTTTCCGCACTTTTCCCCCAGATGAGAACAAACCACCTTTTTGTTCTAGCTGAAAAGCAAAATGTTTCGGAAAGTGATTTGACAATAGTAAGCGGCGAGCGCTGCGGATGCTTCCCACAGTGGTGGAACTGCAGCGTGTGAATAGCAGCCTGGCTTTGTGACAGGCCTCCCTGACAGGAGCCCGGGGTTTTTGGTGCGCAGTGGGCAGCATGCTGGCAGGCTTGTGTGGCTGTTGGTGGCTGGCTTTTTAGCTGCACTGGCTGAGCAGTTGGGGTTCGTAAAGAACGACTAAGACAACTTAAACGTACTGCTTTTTAACCGAGGGTGCAATAATACAGAGATATGTAGCATTTTAAGCTTAAAATGTCAATCCTTGATGCCTAAAATTAAGTATGTAAATAGGTGACCTTACTTTCAGAGGTGCTCAGCACCAGCAGCTCTCAGGGAGTTTTATAGCACTGGTGAGCACTCAGGGCTACAAAAATCAGGAAGCCCACTCAGATATCAAAATACGGGCCTAGGGACCTAACAAAAATATTGGATACTAAAATATTTCCTTTTCTGAATGCTTAAAATATGAAGACACTTATAAAGCAGAAAATATTTTTAAGAGCTACACCTGCTCTCTGATTTCTGTTGAAGCTTTCCAAAGAAGAAGCTAGCTAAACCCTAATAATATCTGAGACCTCTAGCCTAGATGCCGTTTGCAGTAAATAGAGATCCAGAGGGATTGGTTTTTTTAAAGTCACCTGAAGAAGGAAAGCTCTGTTAGGGCAGTAAAATATTTTATAAAGGCTTTAGGCCTTGCTGCCCCCTTCCCACCAGTCAGTGGGTCGCAGCTCACCCAGAGCTGAGTAGAAGGTGGAGGAGCTGCCATTTTGGTGCAAGGAATTGAATGTTTCAGGAAGAGCCTCCTGCCTAGACGCTCCCAACACTCCACAGAGGCATTTACTGCGACTCTCTGTGACTACACAGCAAGCACAGAGCACACACTGGTGACAGAGGTTTGCTGGCCCGTGACCTTGCTGCCCTGCGGGCATCACTGATGGCAAAGCTGCCCCAGCCCTTACCCAGTGGATCTTACTGGCCAGTTTTCTCCCCACATGGAAAAGGTGTAACTCTGATGGAAGAACGTGCCAGAAGGGAGCTGCCATTGTGAGGAGGAAGTGGCAGAAGCTGCTGGTTTTGCACCCAAGATGGAACTTCACTCTTCCAGACATTTTGTTAGTTCTACTGCTCATTTTTCTCATTATTCCTGTATTGAACCATGTGTATGGTCCAGTGTCCTTTGAAAACTGCCTGTAAAGGACATCCCTGATGTGAAAGGAAGACAAGGTGACTACATTTTGGCATCTAAGAGTGCCAGTTGTTTCAATGGGAGCCATTTTGGCAGCAGGCTGGACTGCCCCATTAACCTCCTCAGCACGATGATGGGCTCTCATTCTCCCGGAGTGGGGCTGCCCACGTTTCCTGGTGAAGGGGTGACCGAGAAGAAGATAGCCAAGGGAAGTACTGCTTCTGAACCACGCCAATTTAACAATGAGCTGGCACTTGCAATTACTCTGCAAAACCTGTGATTGGTGGCATCCAGGCTAGCAGTTACTACATGCGTCTGACGTCAAGTTTTCTACCTCCAGCATGAGGGGAAAGCATTTTGCGGATTAATGCAAAGATCTTTCATGCCAGCCCATAGCCCTGAGTTCAGTCAGCTCTGACCGAGGCCACCTCCGTCTCCCATGTTTTTTTCTCTGCCACCAGATGTCCTGTCTGTGCAAGCCCCCCACATGCACAAGGCAGGGTATTGCAGAGAAGCTGGTCATTCCCTGTGTGCCAGTGCTGCTTTAGCTGATACAACCACAGATTGCAGGCGCGTGGCGTGGAGGCCCTTGTCCCCTGGCTGACATGCGTTGCTAGCAGTTTTCTTCATAATACATTCTCTTACCAGTCTTCTGGGATGTGTCCAATCTATCCTGTTGAACTCAGTTCCTGGTCTCTTACTTGGACGAATGATATAACAAATAACTCTTGTTCCCCAAGTACCTGCTGAGTTTATTTTATACCAGGATATCTTTTTGTCTTGCCTTGGTCTGAATCCTGCTCGTGGCGAGCAGAGGACTTGGATGACTCTTCTTGCGCTTGTCTTCTGAAGAAATGCAAATGGATGGAGGCATTTAAGACCTATTTGCAGCCATGACATTGGACAGAAAATTTCTGAAGCATACCTAATAGACTGAAATCTCACCTTTGTGCCATAAAATCTACTTGGTCTAGCAAAGTCCCTTTTCTTTGATGATAGTTGCCTACAGTCACTTTAGATGGATGGATCCTTACCCTGCAAGAAAGAAAAGCTTCACCCGTAAATGCTATTGCTGCATTTCAAGACCACCAGTAGAGAATGTTCCATCAGCCCTTCCAGGGATGTTGTTCATCTAAATTCTTTTTCCAGCAGGAAAATGCTCCTATTTCATAGATTTTAATCTTAATTTTTCTGAGGTTATTAAAATCTTCCTGAAGTTGGAGAAATTTCATCTCATAAAAATGGAGAAAGAGTCTGAGACAAAGCTGTCCTTGGAGGCACATCTGAAAAGCGGCTCCTCTTCATGACATTTCCTCTCATGCAGATGCTGAAGGAGGCAAAGCTGAATTTTTCCGCTCTAATGTTGTATTTCCATGTCAAATACACCAGTCCATAGTGCTAGGTTGCAGCATTTCCCACCTTTGCACTGACAGGGAGCCAAAGTCACCTCTGTCCATTCAGGAGAAAAGATGGATTGGAAGTTGTGCATAAATAGAGAGTAAAGAGCAGGATGTACATCTATCTTAGACTTTCATTTCAGATGTTTTTTCCTAGTGCAAGATTAATTAGACAGAGACAAAAAGAAACATTAAAATGCCTACAGTTCACACTTATTATATGTTTTAAAATCCATTATTCTACATTCCACATTGATGGATAAAAAGAAAATATTGTTGTCAATTATAAAATGCTAAAGATAGCTCTATACTTTTTAAATGAACAATGATAAAAGCCTTGAAAAATTCCCTTTGATGTGAATGGAGTCTTCAGTATTTTGAAATACAATAAGACGGATTAATTGCTACTCATTAGGCAGCAAGTTGGGACAGCTTTGAATGCGCATTCTCTTCTTGGCATTAGCTATTGCCTGGCTGAAATAGCCAGCTTTTGTATTTACTCCTGTCTTCTCTAATAATAAGCAAATTGGAGATCAGGGCTAGAAACACTGAAGTGCACTCTATCTTTTGTCCAGAACAATTGTATATTTTCATGATTTGTTTATCTTTTTTGAGCTACAGCTAATTATTGCAAAGGTTATTTGAATCAATATGAGATCTGAGCAGAAATAACATCTGCAAAAAGTGCTTATTAGGAATCTATTTTACGTTAGTGTTACTGTAATATACATTTTGTGAGAAAATTGATGTTTCTTCTCTTATGTAATTTTTTTTCCCTTACAAGTTTTGTATTTTAAACATTGGTACAGGTTTTAGGGCTTCTTAAATTAATGCTGTGTTCTGTTTTACTTACCTTTCCTCATACTGTCTTAATTTTTTTTTTCCAAAGTCATAGATAACATGGTATTCAAAGCCCCATTTATCATTGTAGGATAACAGTTTTTATTTTTTTGCTGTAGAACTTGTTTGAACTGATTGATTGAATTATTCTTCTGTTTATGTTGGATTAAAAGAAAGTCAAGCACAAATCCTTTTGCGCTTGTCATGTAGAACTCTAGTTTCGTGTGGGGCTTGTATAGATATTAAGATTCATAATTGGATGATACTAAGGAATTATTATTATCTAATTTAACTGTGTATTTTGCATTCCAAAGTGAATGGGTGTAAAGTAAACCTCAAGGGCCTGATTCATTAAAAGTTATATAGCTATATAAAGTTATATAGTTACATAGCATTAGATTCTTAGCACTTAGACCTTCCAACACCAAAGTGTTTACAACTGCAGCCAGAACCAGTCGGCTAAAATAAAAGGCAGATCCTCATCTCCGTTACAGAGATGATATTTTAGGGGTTCAGTGGAACTAGATCAGATTTCCACTGATCGTACTCTAAATCCACCTTAGTAACATTCATTGTTAATTAGATACCAGACTTTTATAAGGGAAGGGGATGGCAGCAGTGTAAGAATGCAGTCTGTTACTTACTACAGTGTCATTCCTGGGCAGCAGCAATCCCATCAGAGCTCATAAATTAAGTAGGGTCAAACCAGGTCAGGGCCGGATGGGATCTATCCATTTTTTCAGCAGATTTAAATGATTCAGTCGGAGATACTGTCCCCCCAGCCTCTGCCCGACCTCAGTGTGGGACTCTGTAGCACTGCGGGCCAAACTTCTATTTTACATACAGCAACTCAGATATCACTGACCCAAAAGGATTTATTCCAGGTTTATACTGCAGCACAAGTGAGAGCAAACCCAAACCCTTTCCATCTTGAACAAGATAGGAAATCAAAGTCTTAACTATTTGCGGTCATTAAAAATCCCACAACGTTCCTGTTTAGAGTAGGGGTGTTAACCCATTTGTCCTGGCCAAATTCCAACCTGGGTAATTACTGTAATCTGCCTGTTTAAATTACCCCTGCCGTTTTAATTGGATATATTACTTCTCTTGCTGCCTAAACTGTGATGTAATACCATTGTGTGTTATTAATCAGTTACCATGTTTCATCCCAGAAGCAGCCACGTTGCTGTGATAGGTAGAAAGATTCATTCCCTACTAGTTACAAATGCTCTCCATTACAGTATAAAAAAACCTGCTGTGATAGGTAGAAAGATTCATTCCCTACTGGTTACAAGTGCTCTCCATTACAGTATAAAAAAACCCCAACGTATACTTGGGTTTTTTAAGGGGCAGACAAATTAATATTTCCATTTAAATAAACAGCTTTAAAATGTGGTTTTACCATTTGTTTTTGAAGACCATGAAGTCTGCCTGATTATACAAGCATAGGCCGCCACCTTGCAGCTCTCCAAAATGTTCCTGGAGCTGAAGGTGCTCTTTCACCAGAGGACATCAGAACTTCTGAAGTATTGGTATTTGATTTTTAATCTGATTTCTTTTATGTTTGAGTATGAAGTTACAGTTACTTTGAGAAAAACTGAAGCTCCAACTCTACAGAGGTTCCTAAGCCTGCAAAAGGTGAAACTTCGTATTGTTGTGTGTTGGCCCGGGTCTGTTGATGTCCAATGCAGCTGGCACGTTTGTCACCATTGGGAAACTTTGTAGGAGTCATTGAGACCCTTCAAGGCTAGCTTTACTGCAAGGGCTGCATTTGTGAGCTGTCATCCTGAACATTTCTGCTTTCTTTCCACCCTCCTAAAAATGTTATCAGTCAAAGAGAGTGAGATGAATGGCCACCACAAAACGCAGAACGTTCTAGGGTGAAAAGCAGCAATTGGCAAGAAGGAAGGCACGTCCCTTCCTGTCACAAAATAAGAGATGTTTTTCCCTTTAAAGATCCCTGTCACTGTTCCTAAAATTCAGGACTGTCAGACTCACTGCTAATGGCAGCTAAGAGCTCCACAGGGCAGCCTAAATGTCCCTTCTTCTGTGAACAGAAGGTCTTGAAGGAAGTGTAAATCTTCAAAAATTTTTATTTAGTTCCTCTGTTGTGGTGAGATTTACCTCCCGTAACCCTTGCCATGTAGAAGTTGGGTGTCCAGGCTCCTGTTCTAGTCTTTGGACAGTAGTAACTTTACAGAAGGTGATGCATTGCACTTGCATTTGATGGCTGGTAAGGAAGAAAGACATTGTCTGCTGTATATGTTCATGGCACTACAGTAGGAGGGGGGGTTAGCCAGCTGCCTTGCAGTGGGGACATTAGTGGCTAAAGCGACACGAGATGAACTATGTCATAGATATATAATGTACCCTGAGCTCATGCAGCTCCTGGGTGTGGACTTTTCTATCCCTAAAAAAGCTTTTACTTTTAAGTTCTCCTTGAGTTTACGTCCACCTAACAGAAAGGCCATTATAGCAGCAGAACAGCATGAGTTTGGGAACTTGGCAGGAGCACAAGCACTAGCTGCACCTTCCTGTGGTGGCACTGGCGTGGCTCGTTGCAGACAGGAGAAGAAAGTGCAGGAGAAGAGGCTGTAGTGCCGCAGCAGTTCTGGAGAACAGCGAGGTAGTCCCAAAAGCGCAGCGCTCACATAGTTGTGGAGGTTACTCAAACCCAGATGCACACGGCTCTTGAAGTATGCACTGCACGCACAGCATGCCATGCCCGGTATGCTTGTTTTCTTTATGATTCAGTAGATTGCGGGTGAGACTTGCGTGGTTTGGCATTTCCAAGCCAGCTCACCTGACAAAAAAAATCGGGAAAAGGAATAGAAAAGTCTGGTAGGGCTAGTATCTCCATATTGCTTAGTGACATCTCCTCATTTTTTATGTTTTCATGATGGAGCTCCTTCTTACCATGCAGGAGGTTAGAGGGGTCAGCTTTGTGGAGACCTGTGCAAGTCTCAGGACACTGGCACCTCTTAACACCCACCAAAGCATTTTTAAGGCCGGTGGTCTGCAGACATCCAAGGCCAGCCAGTAAAACACACCATGCCCAAGCCTCCTGTGCATGCCCTCCTGCCCTGAGGCAGGCAGAGGTGAGCGCCAGTAGCTCGGGAGCCAGAGCGGACTTCCAGCTCTTACTCAGTGAGTTGGTCGCAGTTATATGGGAAAGCTACAAGTTGGAGAAAGGACCAAGTTTTGTTCACGCACTGATGGGTACCGCGCCCCCCCGCCTCCCGCCCACTGAACAGCGGCAGAAGCTGCTCTGCAGATGCCCTGTCGGCTGTGGCGAGGCAGTCCCCGGGCTGAGACAGGTCAGAAAGCAAAGCGGGGGCCGGGGCCACTGTGGGGGAGGCAGCGCAGGTGGGTCCGCGGGGGTCGGAGGTTTGGACCTGAGGCTCGCATCCTGTGCGGTGCAGAGCGGGGACGCGGCTGGGGCCGCTACTCCCCTGCTCCACCTGCCGCTCTCCCCGGCCTGCTCCACCTGCCGCTCTCCCGGGCTGCAGCCCACGGAGGCACCCGCCGGGCACCTTGCACAGCCCAGGGAAAACAAGCTCAGCAGCAATCCCTTCATTCAGCATCTGCAGCTTTCACAAAGGGAAGTGGCGGTTATCTTCCCCCAGTATTTTGTAGTTAATTTTATTTTATTTTCTCTTTTAATGAATCAGTCCCTAGGTGAAAATAATGCACTTGTTTAAAGCTGATATTTAATGTTCAGCTAACTGCTCTTCCTTTGTCTCTTACTATTTTGTTCATATTTTGCTAAGAATCTGCTATTCTACACAAGCATTTTAATAAACTGTTTGTTGTTGTATCCAGGTAACAAGCATGGTAAGTATTTTAACTAAACCAAGTATTATGTACCTTAGCTGTGCTTGGCAGAGTTTTTGGCTAGCTTTTCCTGTACTTTCAGCCTGTGCTGTTTCTAAAGGAGCTATTCAAAGGAAGAAACTGCTCACCTATAGTACTACTACATGCAAGCTTTAGAGGGAGCATATGTGCAAAGTCATATACCATAAATAAGAGCATGCATCTCTTGCCAGCATGCTTGCTACTTTGCTTGTAAAATAAAACCAGGAAAAAAACAAAAAATCCTTGCCTAATACTGCTTGTGTTCCTTCATTCTAAGTCTTCTAAGTCACATAGCTAAATATTAGCACTTATTAATTCAGTACTTCTGGATGAGGAACCCCACTTTACCAGATAGTAACACTCTGTTGTTTACTTACTTTACCTGACCTAAGATATCCACTTAGTTAACTCTTTCCTTTTCTATTCTGTGATCTATTCTGTGATCATACATGATGGCAGTGACTAGGACTCCAAGTGCTGCTCTAATACAAATAATTGATAACAATCCATTTTTCCCTAAAGTTGTTCCTGTATGCTTGAAAACAGCAGAAATTTTATGGCTGATTATTTTCTTTGGGAGCACTGGAAATCAGTAAAATACCGCAATTGAAAGTTTAAAATGTTATTTACATTTTTTTCATCTAACTTTTAAAATGCTTATCATAAAACAGAATCCAAAATGTTTCTAAACCTGTAAGCATGAAGAAAAATCTGTCATTGTTTGCGAGTCAGTCGCAGTTCTGTGTTCTCATTTTACAGTGTAATGCGAAAGGCAAACTTCTCTTAGATCAAAATGATAGAGCTCAAATCTCAGTGCTCCCTGTCCTGCAGGCAGAGCCTTAGCAGCAGACCGGGTTTAGTCTAGCCCGATTTAAAATCAGGAGAATTTGCCCAGATAAACAAGTGGGCAGTAGTTTGCTCTCCCAGAGCTTCCTGCGTGTTGGCAGAGCAGACTGTGAGAATTCAGGTCTACCATGCATGTCTGAGAGGAGGTTTTGCCTTAAGGTAGTTTGAGTGTTAGCCTCAAGTGCTGTATTTTTTTTTCCTGCATGGTTTGCTATTTTTGCGTTTTCTGTGTGGCTTTTTACGTTTTTAGTTATGTGCTTGTAGCTGCAGTTATTTAACATCGTTTGTTGTGCCAAATGTTTTAAGACTCCATGTAATTGTCATGTTAAAGGATCAGACAGCAAAGGACAAAGCACTCCAGCACATGGCAGCAATGTCATCAGCTCAGATAGTCTCAGCTACTGCTATTCACAACAAGCTGGGCCTGCCAGGAATTCCCCGTCCTACATTTCCTGGGGCACCTGGGGTAAGTTGTTAGCTGAGTCCCCAAAAAATCCTTGTATTCGCTAACAATGTTCAGTAGAAAATGAAGGCTGAATGAATGGATTAATGCTTTCACTTGTGTTTGCAAAAGAAATCATGCTTGCTCAGAAATATCCAAAATCTTTTGACAAAGAAAACAATTGTAGGTCTGTTTGTTTGTGTTTCCTCTTTCAGTTTTGGCCGGGCATGATTCAAACGGGGCAGCCTGGATCCTCGCAAGAGTAAGTCTGAAAACTGCAATATACTTCTATAGGCAGCATGAGGCTGGCTTGTGCACTTGGCACAAGGCTTGTGCACTGGCTTGTGCACTTGGCTGCTAGAGTATGTCAATGAAGCAAGAACTTGCAATTTTTTTCTGAAAAGGAGGGAAACGTAGTTGTGGGGAAAGAAAGAGCCTTTACAGTGATGTGAACTCACATTCAAGAAGTTATAAGAGATCCCAGACCTCAAAGCTGAGTCTGAATACCTAATGGACACACTCCTTTGTTTTCCATTCCATGGTGAGATGGAGTGACAATGCCAGGGAAGCAGCTGGTAAGGTTTTACCTGTGAATAAGTTTCCAGCACAAATACTTTCATCCTCTTTTACTATATGAGCAATACTGGAGGCAAGGGTATTTTCCTGCAAGGCAGGAGTTGACTGCATGAGGCCCGTTAGTGGTCGATGGGGTTACTGCCCTTTGGCACTATGGTAGCAACAGCACCATACGGAGGAGGAAGCCTTTGCCCCTCTCTGAGGTGTTACATTTTCAGCCCTGCAGTGCTCTCTGGAGCAGTGATTCCCAGCCTTCTTTTTCAGTTTCTCCCCACCTTATTCCCTTAAGGTCCATGTGAGTCTTTGTGTTCCTGTAGTTCAGTGTCCTCTGGATTTATTGGGAGTCGGAGCAATCACATCCATGTCTGCTGCCACACTTGGACAGGCGGGTCAGGTTTCCTGCGGCGTGACTGAGTGCAGATGAGCTCCTGTCTTTAAGATGTTGGGTGTAATTCTCATCCCACTCTCTCTCTGTATTGCTGCTTTGCTGTCCATCTGTTAAATATGGTGTCCAAGAAAGAGATATGTTTGTGGGTAAAGGTCATTAACTATATATTTTTCTACACTGTGTGACTCTTAATGGAATTTACTGTGGATGGCATGGTATATGATTTTTGTATAACTCTTTATTCCAGTGTAAAGCCATTTGTTCAGCAAGCCTATCCTATACAGCCATCAGTCACAGCTCCCATTTCAGGTAATTCTTCCACTTATACTCTCCTTTAATAAGACTTGAATTGTGTACTGAATGTGATGTATTAATTCCTGAGATGGACGGAGCCATTATTCCATATCTAATGTTCCCTGTAGCCAAACCAGACACCAGTCCCAATGTCCTCTTACCTGTTTATATCTGAAGGAAAATCGTTGGGTTTGGGGGTTTGGAGTTTGGGGTTTTTTTTAACATTTTGGGTAGGAAGCACTAATACATATGCAAGGTGATGTGATCTGCAGTCGGTATTCTGTATTGGAGGAAAATGTTTTGTAAAAAATTACTAATAGGATACATGTTTCTTTTTTAATAGCTAAATCTTGCTTCTATCTGTAATAAGCATAAGACTTAATTTGTTTTAAATTGAGGTTGAAAACTATTCCAAAACCATTTACGTTTAGCCTTAGGTCTAAAACATTTCTATGTATCTGCTTGTTGAGAACTCTTCCCTCTCCTGAAGGTTCTGCTCTGCCTGGTACCACTTGGATAAGTACCTAATGTTTGTTCTGCCTTCCATTGCTCAAACTGATCAAGCCCTTGCCATGGCTATTCACTACTCCTTTTCCCAAGTTGGTTTTATGACTAATTTTAGGAAAGATTTCTCTGCAGGTGATAACTAGTTTTATGTCTCCCTTGGCAAATGGCATCATGCTTCTGATTCTATTTGAACTGCAGTTTTTGATTCTTGCCCATTTTTTATGATTTTCTAACTTGCTGCTATTTAACACTCAAAATTGTCTTTTTACATCCTTGATTATTTCCTTTTTCTTGATATTCCTAATTTATACCATTGTTTTCTAAAGCAGACATTTTGAATTGTCTTCTTTTATTCTTCCATGTTTTCTCTCAGAACAGGATTCTTAGTGTTTGTAAATCAGTCAAAACTCATGCATGAGTTGCCTCATTAGAATTCCTGATTACGTCTGACCAGTCACGTTTGTAATTCCTTGTTTCATCCAAGCCTCACACCTTCATTGCCTGAACCTGAGGGTTGGAGTCAGGTACCACAGGCCCATTACGGGATGTGGACACGCAGTACCACTGACCTCTCCCTAGTTCTCAACTTAGCTCAGGATTATCTTCGTTTTCTGACCTTTGGTGCCTTTTCCCTCCCTTCTTTGTCCCCACGTCTCTCTCAAGATCAGTTTTGCCTTTCAGTTGCTGCCTTTCCCTTCTTCCTTTATTGTTTTGTTTCCTTCTCATCTAATTTACCATGATGAGGAGCAAGAGATAGCATTTATTCCTTCTCTTGAGGTGAATTAGGGATGGTGGTTAACATCCCTTCTCTCTCTAGATCATGCCATTCCCTCTTTATTATCAATTTAAAACCTTCTTTTTCTTTTTAGAGTATGATTCAGCTCTCTACAGTAATTATTTATTATTATCTGTAATATAATGCTGCCTAAAAGCTCCAAAAGAAGTCAAAGACCTGATGTGCAAATACATAGTAAGAGACAGTTCCTGCCTTGAAAACCTTATACTCTAAATAGGAGAGGGGAATTGAGAGTGGCAGAAGAAATAGGCAAAAAGAGAGGTGATTTACTTGTAACATGTGGCACATTAGGAGCCAGAAATGGAGGCCAGTTCTCTTGACTCCCAAGACAGTCATATCTCCTGCGAGTCTTGCTGCCAGTTTCTGAGGAGGGGTCAGCTGTATGTCTATGTGAATTCTCTATAAATCTCTATAATCTAGTGTATAACTTAAACAAAAAATTCTGCAGTGAGTTACAGCCCCAAGGAAACAAAGAATTGGATCTTTTATTTGCACCATTATTAGCTTGCTGTGTTGGGACCTCTTTTTCTACTTGTTTTTCTGGGATTTTTTCAATATTAACTCATTCTGATTCATTATTTGGTAAAATTAATATAAATCTCCAAGGGCTACATGCATAATTCCCAATTATATTTAATTCAGAAAATATAAACTGAGGAATTGTCAACTTCTTCATGAAAATGATTCCCTTATTTTAGGATTTGAGCCTACGTCAGCTCCAGCCCCCTCAGTCCCTGCGTGGCAGGGCCGATCGATTGGTACGACCAAGCTCAGGCTGGTGGAGTTTTCGGCTTTTCTTGAACAGCAGAGAGATCCCGAATCAGTAAGTGTTGCACTCGTGTCTGCTAATCTTCAGCTTTTCTCTGCCCTCTGAGGATGCTTTCCAGGGTTAAGCCTGGTGGAATACACCTGGTGTTTCTGCATTCGCTACTGCTCAATGTAATATTCCTTTCTCTGTAGTACTATATTTTCCTTTCTTGCCCTGTTTGCAGAAGTGAGAGGCCTCTCTGAAAGCAGGCGTGGTTTGCTATGGCGTCTGTCTCACTGCTGACCTAGTTTAGTTGTACCAAATTGCATCGTGTTTTTGGCAATAATTCAGTACTTTGTATTAAAGCCTAATCTGTTTCCTAACAGAAACAAAACTAAGGACTTGCATAGAAATTATGCATACTGTTTTCAATATCTGATATTTGGAATAACCTCTAAATATCGGGATTGTCCCTTTTGATTCCAGCCCCCCAAGTATGTACCATTTAGCTGAATCACTTTTTCTTTTTTTTACATTGTGGTTACCTGTCTAAGTGTGCAATCATTCAGTCTTCCTCAATCTTTAGGGCCCAATCCAAGGTTTGGATTTTTTTAAGGGTTTTTTTTTTTTTCTGTTTGGATTTTAAGTCTGCATACTATAGCTGCAAGGGTAGTTTATAGAAGTTGGCTGTAATGTTTCATTTACTCCAGTAAGCCTCGAACCTTGATGTTAATCATCATATGTTTACCAAGAACATTTGTTAGTAGCCTAGCACTGTTTCTGCTGCATCACAGATAAATCAAAAGGGCTTCTTTTAGCTTGAACTGGAGATTTTTTACAGAGATAATTTCTGCAAAGCAAATACTGTCATGAATGGGTGATACAGACAGGCCATTTGTGTTCAGACTCCAGGTAAAATACAGTAGCTCAGAGAAGAGAGAGGCTGTCACTTGCTTTTTATAATTTAACACTGGAAACCATGGCATTTATGGACTTAGGCCAGGGGTGTTATCCGGGGAGTGTTTACCCTGCATAATGGAGATTGGAGACATAGCCCAGAAACCGTTCAACAGAGCAATGCTCCTGGCGGGGAAACATCCCAGTGAAAATACACTGTACCTCGGCTATTCATACACTAAATATGTGGCGGTGTGTTGGTTTGCTAAATGTCATGTTTTGCCAGGTTAAATTAACTTTGGGGAAGGAAATGTTTGGCAGCAGGTACAGTTATCTCGGCGCTTACCTAACTGTCAGGTACTGCGTGGTTTCCCTGCAATCCCTCTGCTTTCCCGAGGCCCTGATTCCCACACTTTCCTGGCAATCCTCTCTCTGGTGGCCTAAAACTTCATCTTAGCGTCCTCAAGACTAATCACAGCAGGAAAGCCTTCTCCATGGCCAGTCCTGAGTTCATCTGGACCACGGTTTGTGTTTCCGATGCAGAAACACAACCTCCAGGTTTTGTCACCAGGCAGCCCTATCAATACACACCTCTCGGAGTCCTTGGCTCCCTGACCCCGTGTGATGTGTCTTGCTGATTTATGGGCTCTGCCATGTGCAGATCGCTGTGTACCAGGATAATTTCTGTGTGCCTCGAGGTTATCGGGAAAACAGGATGTGGCCATGTAACGCTCAGCCTTACTGTGCTGCATGTGAATGAAACAACAGTTCAGTGTATTTTGATTTACTCTTTTGCTAGTGTGCCACCTAATTATCCTTTTTCCCTAGGTTTTTATAAAGCAAAGCTATTTTCAAAGCCTGTGGGCTCATGTGATACAGCGCCTCTACGTATCTGCGTGGCTTTATGTAAAAGAGTGAAAAAAAAAAAAATCCCCCCCCCCAAAGTGAATGAGAATTCAGCAACTAAGTAAACTTTTATGTCTTTCCCTCTAAGAAAAATCTTCCCCAAATGAAGTACACTCTTAACAGGTAACACGTGGTTCCCCATCACATCACTGGTGTCTGCGACATGAAACCAGCTGACTGACAGACCCAAAATGAGAAGAAGCTGCTTTGGCAGGGCGGGGGGCCGTGGGACCCGCTCTGCCACGATGGCGTGGCTCAGAGCCGGTCGTGCCCACACACGGAGCGTGGGGGCCAGCAGCTCGGGGACGTGTGGAGGCTCTCATTTTTCAGGCAGGTGCAGGCTCCAGGAAATGCAACACATCCACTTGCATTGCAGAGACCTGAATAGAAACACGGTTACCCAGGACGGCCCTGTAAATACTGTAAAGCCTTTTTTGGAGTGCACTAATATTATTTGGAATTCCGGAGGGTGCACTGAGGCCCACCAGAGCTTGTCCCAGCCTGTGAGCATACTGCTGAGAAACCCACCTTTTAAATGCAGGAGGTTTACTGCAGAAGCAAGAGCATCAAACTACCCAGACTTGTTTTTAAAAAAAACATTTACTTGCGTGCTGTAACATTGCAAAAAATGAGACACACAGAAAAAGTCGATTCTCAGTCACGCGTTAATCCCGATTTAGATCCTTCTTTACACCCAGGCTGTGAGCACCGTGGGGCAGCGCTGTGCAGGGCTGTGTGGGGACAGCCTGGGCTGGCGGGGTGGGCACTGAGGGGAGCCAAGGGTTGAGCCCCCATGGGCAGTGTGTCACCACCTCTGCCTGGGGAGTCAGGACAAGGGGAAACTTTGTTTAAATTCAATTAAGTATATTTGCTTGTTTGGATCATAAACAAGGACGTAGAAAAAAAACAGGGCGGTGTGATCAGCTCCCATCCAGAAGGATGTGTTTAGCACAAAGTGCAGATGAGCTCTTGTAGGCACGTGCTGTGATTGCAGCATCTCCTGTGTGCCTCCGTGCCTTGCTGACCTCCGAAGTGAATGTGTGTATACACTGCTGTGTGGGAGCCATGAAAGAGTTCTCCTGTATCTTCTGAAAAATTAGTGCTATAGTTTCATTATGCTTCTGACTTTTTACAGAAAATGACAGAATATTATTTTGATCAAATGTGTTTCCAACATTTTATTAAAAAAAGATTACTCTTCCTCCCTCCGTCCTCCAATCCAACACCAGGACAGAAAGACTTGTAGTAGTGAGGACAAATAGACCAATTCCATCTTAAGCAACCTGTAAGTTTATTGAAAAAGGCTTATTTGACCTGGCACTTGGGGCCAGGACTCGATGATCCTGGAGGCCCCTTACAGTCTATATTCCTGTACAGCTATTAGAAATTTAGGTCAGCCTGCCCATGGTGACCCCCAGCAACTTCGGTGGGACCCTGCATGAGCACAAAGGTCCACCCACAGGGAATTCATTGCAGGAGTGGGGCCTTAAATATTTCTGGGGTTCTTCCAGTGGCAGTTGGTGTTTAAAAATACAAAAGCGCCTCAATATCAGGCAGTTATGTTAATTTAGAGTGGATGTTCTGGTGGGTCATAAGTATGCTCGTGTGCTCCGTAGAGTCCTGTCACTTGCAGGGGGCTATTGATGTTTTTCTCTTGCCTACCCACAAAATTTGTTCCAGTTACAAAAGGAAAAAAGTATAGAAAGGAAACAATAAGCAACCCTCACTGTAAATCTGCATGGCGGAAGATCATCTGGAAGATATAGGATAGCACTGTTGCAAAATCTTGGCAGTATTGACTCTGCAGTTAAGGATGGGTAAAAATGCTTTTCCTTTTTTTGTGAAAATCCAATCAGTTTACAAATATGAATCTGTATTTTTCTTTTGTGGCATTTTGTGCTCTAGTACAATTCCTGAATAGTTCATAGAAACTGCCCTTGTAGGTCCAAGCACTAAGCATTTTAGTTACCTTTGATTACTACCTGCCCTATATAACTATATTCTCAACAGATGAACAAGTTTATGTACCCATTTGTTGTTTTCAAGATGTATTTTCCTTAATTAGGGCTTTTCATTTTTACTGTAATGGTTTGGTGAAAATTCAGGACAAACGCTTAAACGCATATTCCCTAACAAATATAAATTGAGTACGCAAGCAGATTTATATTCAAGCTTGCTTTACAATCAGGAAAAGAAACCACCCTGACACCACCCAACAAAAAAAAGCCCTTTCTTCTCTTCCTCTTCAAGATTTGTTGTTCTTGCTGCGACATTCGGTTTGACTGCGAGCACTTCAAACAGCTTTACCTCTAAAGTATCTATGTGAGGCTGTAAAGCCCGTGGCTGATGGGCATTTTCAGTGTTAATCCACCTATCCAAACTGTCAGGTTGTGTTAGGTCCAAATTTCAAAATGTATTTTAAAAAGTTGTGAAGAAATAAAATATTCTTTATGTTTTGATTCAGGTTTTATTGTTGTTGTAAAAGGACTTTGTGAGCCCAGGGAGAATTGTGCCTGAGAACCAGAAAGTGAAAGCAATTGCTCAAGGGCCATAAAACCAGCCTGCCATCGTTAGCCAAATGCAGTAAAATTCACGAAAGTTAATCAAACCATCTTAGTGATGAAAAATAAATGAGATCTTTTCAAAAGAAGCCCTCCATCTTGAACAATATCCATTGTTACAAGCATTGTTTATCCTTTCTGTATTCCCTATAAAGAGCCTAAAAAGCAGTTCAGTGTTTCAGTCGGAAGGAAGTCCTTGGTTTAGCACCTTTGTGATGTGAAAGGATGAGGAGGCAGATGCGTATTAGGATGAATGTCTTGAAGTGGCAGATTCAGAATTTGAGGTCATTTTAATCTGATATCAGATAAAGTTGAACTGAATGGAAGGGTAATTTATTTTGCAGTGCTGGCCCAGGGAAGTGAATGTCACACTCTAAAATGTTCATATTCGGGTGTCCATAGTTAGAAGTGCCAAGAAAGTATTTCAAGGTGGTCCATTATTGACACGATCTTCAATCTTGAAACCATGGTGTGGCAGCAGACCTCCAGGCTGGCAGCGTTCCCAGGGGACCCCATGGAGGTGTGGTAGGAGGCCTGGGCCAGCACCCCCAGCCCAGTTGGAGGGTGATCTTCAAGAGAGCGTCCTGCGGTGAAGACCCTCCTGCTCACTCCATAGGGCTGTGCCTCTGCCCTGCAATTTCCCATCTTGTTTCACTGCAGCATCCCCCATCCCTACGCCCACCCCAAAATTGCTTAGCTGGGCTGCAAAGT